CCACCATGAAGGCCTGGACATTGCTGTCCTTCGCCATGATTCTGGAAACAAACTGTGGGCCCAGAGGAAGCTGTTTGAGCTGAGCTGCGGGAAGGATCAAAAACACTACACTATGTATATACAGGAAAGGTTTGCGTCGATTCCAGTGAGGTGCAGGACAAGTTTGGTAAATACATACACAGTTTAAACTGTTGTTCACTCAAGTTGTTCTGCCTGCATACACTGAATACCTGTGCGTGTGGCACATTTGATCAAAGGTATGTGTGTGTGCAGAGAGAGAGAGAGAGAAATATATATATATGTTTTTTCACATCCTCTCTATGGCATGGATGTCAAGTCACGAAGGATATCTTTTTGCCTGGAATGAGTCGGACACATCTTTAGTGGCAAGCGGACAACACTGTTTGTATAGTTCCAACCATATATTTGTTTTAATACACACATGGAAACGCGAAGAAATTTGCACGAATCCCGGAATATAGATATATATCTCAAACAGCCTCCCGCATTCTAACAGGGAACAATAAAACCATCACGGGGAATCTTTGCTTTGGTTGTTATATTTGTTGTCAATTCAACGTTTGATTTCACAAAGCAAGAAATCAGCGTTCCTTTTTTCTCTTTCGAGATATTGGGGTGCAATGCATGGCCTGTAGGCCACTGGGTTTGGCTCTGTGAAACTTGGTCTTGTGACGAACTGCTTGCTTGGGGCGTGCGGCTTGGAACGCACTGCTTTCGAACTGAAGAGCGTCGATGCACAAAAGCGAGTATTGTTCAAGGTGTGGGTGGGTGGGCGCTTTTGGGCAAACGAAACGGCGCGCCCACCCGCCCACCACGTGAACCAGCGCAGAAGCAAAGACGCGTGTGAAATCCGGGTGCCTCCACCCTAAAACTAGAAGTGACAACTCGATCCCCTACGGTGAGCTTCATTGTCAATTCAACGTTTGATTTCACAAGGCAAGAAATCAGCGCTCCGTTTTTCTCTTTCGAGATATTGGGGTGCAATGCATGGCCTGTCCCCCTTCGAACGCTGGCACCCCAAGATCACACAAACACTGCCTAATGTCATCGAACAAGTCTTTGGCTGGCAAGCTCTCGGACAATTCAGGTTTGAGCATAGGACGCGCTTCCCCTCTGGAAGGGAAGTCGCTTATGTTGGCTTCAGTAGGCACGCGAGCGAACCAGGCTTGAGAGCTATTCAAGGCTTCATGCTCTAGATGGATGCGCATCAAGGTTTGCGCAACTTCACCTTCGGCAGAGCCTTTTATTAAGGAGAACCTGACGGCCTCATTGTCTCCGAACCATACTTGAAGACCACGCGAAATTTTTGCCGTTCCAAAATTTTAACGCAAGGACTCCGGCAAACAATTCTAGTTCATAAATGATGGTGTCTTTGGTGGAGGCACCAAGCTCTAGACAAGTCTCAGAGTCAACATTGAACCCAAACCAAGAGACGCACTCACCTCGGTCATTAACAAGGACACCACCAATGCCTCCCGGTTTGCTGCTCTGTTCATATGAAGCATCGGAGTAGATGAACCATTGTGCAAGCCTGTGAGCACGAACCACCCTAGGTTTACCTGAGTTCAAGGGTTCAAGCATGAAACGAAGGGCATCTCGCAAGCTCTCGTCGATTTGCTTTTGGGCTCCGTAGGCGTGTTCGATTAGTTTACTTAGCACTAAGATCCCCAAGCGACCGTGGACGAAGCTGTCTGCAAATCCTAGTTTACCTCTAAGCACCAAAGCTTTGGGACGCGTCAACGTGCCTCGTTCCAGCTTTCGTTGCTCAGTGTTCTCGATCATCAACTTTTGCTCCGAGGACAAAGAAAAATCAAACACAACACCGAGTGCGCGGCACAGAGTGGAGAATTCCGTTTTCTTTTTCCCTTCCCGGGCAAACTCCCAACCTGTTAGCAAGAAGACCAGCTCCATTGCATGCTTTGCACTGTCCTGAGTCTCCGCCCTGGAAACAAGGACAAAGTCGTCATAGAAGTTGGTGTTCATTGCAAACAGTCCTCTCGCAGCGATGAAGTGAAGCATCTTTGCAAGCCGCAGAAAACAGTATACACTATGAGTTGCCCCAAAAGGCAGAGTCTGCATCTGATACACTTCAGCCTGCTCCGTCTCATGGTTGAAGATGCTGAAATATGCATACTTGAGATGGGACTCCCGGATAGGAATCTGTCGGTAAGCACTCTTCAGGTCATATGTCTTGGCAACCAAGGAACTGTCAAGTTGCCTCTCTGCACAGTGCCTGAAATACTGGTTTGTCAAGGCCGCCAGCGTGTCAATCATATGCAGATCCACTTTATTGTGAGCCGCACAGGTATCGTTGATTCCGCTGACGGAATAGTCGTCGATCACTCGAGCCTTGCTGCCCTGCTGCAACAGAAACCTTCTGGAAACAATGGCATCCTTCTCAAGCTCCTCCAGTTTGAACGGGCCTATTGCCCGCCCTTTCCTAATTTCTTCTCGGGTCTCTGCCAGAAGTTGCTCGTCAAGAGCTCGGTCACCCGAACTCCTGGTCATGTTCAGGATGGCTGCATTCTTGAGGGTCGCGCCTTTGTGCAGCTGACCCATCGTCTGCGTGCAAGGTTTGTACTGCTTTTGAAAAACCGAAAAATTCCTCGATGTCACCAGCAAGAGTTGCACCTTTTCTCAACATCTGCAGGACCTGAACATCTTTATAGCCCAACTCTGTAAGAATTTGTTCTGTTAGCAGAACCTTTTTGTCTTTTGCGTTGGCTCGAACATGTACAGGGCGTGTGTCGGCATCCAGTCTTTCTTCTTCCTTCATTTCAACTGCCTTCTTCAACCAACGCTTGCACCAATCCGCTCTGTAAGAACTCATTTGGTGGTCATTCCATTCCAAGTTCTTGTCAAGTGCAATTTTGAAGTCTGGTGAGACTTGATGATCTCCCAGAAGGGGGTGACCAGCTTTGCACGCTTGCTGAATGAACGTTTCATAACTCCACGGCAGGCCAAAGACAACTTTGTACCCTTGGGGTTGAGGGTCAAGCTCACTCTGACCTCTCCCTAAAACATCACTCAAACCAACTTCCTCCGCACTGCTTTCGACCCCTTTTCTTTGCGCGGCAGGAAATTAGCAAAACGAAGAAAACGCGAAGCGGCCGGAATGCTGACAGCCTGTCCATCGAATGTGCGCAAGGTGATGCTCTTGGGAAGCTTTTGCATCAAGGAACATGGAATCTGCGACAAATCCTCAGCATGAAAAGAAGCTGTAGCAGTAAACTCAGGCACCAACGGTGGCACTTTCCGTCGGGGTTGAAGTCCACTGGACACCTGGGCAGCCTGGGCTTTCAACAGGGGGTGAAGTGAAGATGATGAATGTCTCTCATGGATTGAGGCTGCAGGATCAAGCCGAACGAATGGGCAACTTGAAGCACGGATTGCACAAGGCTATACACATCTTCCTAGGATATGCTGATTCCAGGCTTGTGGCCCAGACTTGCTTTCCTTCCGAATCTTGGGCGAAGCGCCAGGGCTCGTGGTCATGAGACTTGTCACACTGTATGCAGAGCTGCTGAATTTCTTGGAAATTCGCCACAATGTCCACTTGTTTCGAGTGCCGCCGAGCATGCAAACGTGGAAGTCAGCGACAAACAACCTGCAGGTCTTCATCAGTTGCAGGAACCATTCTGTGACCCAAAAGTATGAATTCTTTGGGTTCTCAACTGTTGCTAAGATGCCCGCTTGTACAGCTTTCTTGAAAAGCTTGCAAGTGTATTCAAAGAGGTCATTAGCGATGAGAACACGTTGCTTGTCATTCCCGGATAGGCTGGGCAGCCCACGCGGAAGTTCATTGCTGCGCAGTGGTCTCGGATCTGACCAATGCACTCTAATCTCTCTGGCCCTTGAGGCCGTTCCGCAAACGGGTGCAAAATGCATCCACAACAGAAGGGGTGAATCCATCCAATGCTCCAGCAACAAGCGATCTTCAGAGTTCCTGAGGTCGAGTTGGAACACAGAACTACGAGCACCTTTCTTTCTTTCTTTCTTTATCAACTGCAATCGATCCAGCTAGACCATGCCGTTTAGCCGTGGCACAAAGGATCGCACAACCACAGAACACTTCAATCATGAAGGTCTGCTCAACATGCATTGAAGGCCAAGACCTGAATTCATTCTGCGAAGGCTTATGTCACTGTTTGTGCTCAGTGAGGCTGCGCTTTGCCTGACACTTGGGTTCCATGCACAAATGCCATCCACGGGCGCATCGTTCCCCAGGCTTCACTGTAGTTGAATTTGGGCATCCATCGACTGTGTTGTATGCAAAGCACAAAGGTTCACCCTGTGGCGTTTTGTGCCACTTGCCGATCAGCTGACGAGGCATTGGCGGAGCACCGCCTTTCCCTTTTCCTTTACCTTTCTCTTTACCTTTCTTTCCTTTGCCTTTTTCGAACTGATGACCATAAGGTCCTGGCTTTGGGAATTCTCGTGCCAGGTAGAGCGTGATGTTCGGGTCAGCTCGAAGGGCCAAAAGGGCCTCGCCCGCAGGATACCTACCGTCAATCAATTGCTTGACAGAGTTCACGGTGCTTGCAAGTCTCGCCCAGGCTGCTCTGTCACATTGAATAACCTGGGCCAGAGAGGGCTTGTTGTATCCCGGAGGACTCTCACGATGCAGTGCTTCTACTAAAAAGGTCTCCCACTCATTGCGCTGATCAAAACTCATGACCCTGGCGAACTCCAAAGCGATTGCACGGCGAGTGAAAGCAAAGTGGAGTTTCAACTCGCTGTCTGTCACGGTGCTAAGCTTCTCATCCTGGTTCTTCAAAACAATTGTGCCTTTCTCAAAGGCTAACTCTCTCGTTTGTTTGCTTCCTTGGATCTCATAGGTGCGACTAATGCAAACAGAAGGCTCCAAATACTTTATGATGTGTTGGTCATACATCTGACAAGCTCGCTCCAAAACAACATGGGCAGGCTCAAGTTCACCCTTAATGGCTACACCCGTCAGGCGGGTCTTCAAAGCATCCATGCGTGTTTGCCTCTCGGCAAAAAAAGGAATCTTCTTTGGTAGTGTGTCATCTTGCTGCTCTACTCCTTGGCGTGAAAAAGCGACTAGGTAAGTCTGAGCTTCGAACGTGATCCTCTTGATCAATGCAACTTCCTGCAAGGTCGCCTCCCTCGCTAGGAGGGTTCTCAAAAAAGCTCCTACTTCGTCGTTTGTAAGTGGCTGGTTTGGTTGGCCGATTGCAAATGCCAGATGGCTCATGGTCCGAATGCCACCATCTCGAAGAGCCTGTCGGACTCCGTCAGACATTCCCACCTCCAGTGCCCTGGATTGGAAGCGGGCCTCACTATCTATCAGGTTTGCCATTGCGCTCACAGCAAAGAAACTACACAAAACAAGTGAACAAGAAGAAGAAACCTAGTTCCAAGTTGAGGCAAGAACAAAGTGACCTGGATTCACCACTTTCAGGCTCGAAAAGGCCCTTCTGGGTCACTTCTCTTTTGAAAGGAAATTTTGGGCCTTTCACCAAGCAAGTAAGTTTACCGTATCAGACACAGCGTCGGTTTGGCGTTTGCGTTTTCTTTTGTACACCTCATATCAAAGATATGCTCATGTTTCTTTGCAAAGCATTCTCTTTTGCTTAAGTGCCAATGGCACACTCTATTCCTTGAGCCTTCGCTCCAAAGAAAAAACTTGTTGCAACTTGCACATGAGCAACGCTCATCTCCTCTCTTCAAACAAGATTCTCCCAGAGCAATGCTCTGACTCGCGGCTCTCCGCAATTTTTCTCAAGGCGGAACGCCTACTCCTTGTTCTTGTCCCTTGCCCGCTTAAACGCCAAGTCCAAGTGTGCCACTAGGTCATCTAGCTTGCGAATCCTGTCAGGATCCTTTGGGAAACAATTCAGGCATTTTGGCATCTTGACATGAATGAACTTTTCTAGCACAGCAAAATGTCCTGCAATCTTGATTCCACATTTTGTGATCTCTCTGAAGTCTTAGCGCTGTGCACCAGGCCACTCTTGGTGTTTCGCACATAGGTTTGCCCGTTTGGCACTCGCTCAACATAGCTCTCTGGCTCTCGACTTCGTGCCCCAGGCTCTTCATCGCTAGTGTCAGAGCTTGACTCTGAATCACTGCCGCTCGAAGACTCGATTTCAATGAGGCCTCCATTGACCATACCCAATGGGAAAAGACTTAGCTGTTCAGCCAGTGACAAATTTTCTCTCTCAAGGTCATGTTCTTCTTTCACACTCCTCAGGTCCTCCTCGAGATTCATGATCTCTGCAGCACCATCAACTTCATCGACATGAGCTGGCAGAGCTTCTTTTTCGAGCACAGGAGGTCCTTGCAACAAAGGCGGGGTATAAGCACATGGCCTCGGTGGCAGAACACATGGGGTGGTCGAAATCAATCGTGCTCTGCAATGTCCTCAAAACTCATTCCAAGCCGGATGTTCTTTAACAGCATTTGCAGTTTCCGAATAGGCCTGGTCTGAAGATCTCTGGCGTAAACAACATCGCTCCCGGTCAAGGACGAACAATGGTGTCCTAGCACGGCCCTGACCTCACGATCCATACCCGAGCGTGCGCACCAGCTCAACAAGGTACCTTTCAATGAATGCGAGCGGAAAGTCTCCGAATTTCTTGTTCCTCTAAGCAAGAGTTTGAGCCATGCTGAGGCCTCCGGTGTACTCAACGGCCTTGCTCCAAAACCTCCTCCAATCTTTGGCGCGGGCAACAAAGGGCCTAGAGGCACATTGCTGATATTCAGGCCCGCTTGCTTGTAAAGCTCAAAGTACATTTTCAACCAGTCCATATGTACCACACCATCCCATGGCACCACCAGCGGCAAGTATTGCTCTCGTCTCAAGCCAACTTGTGAAGTCTTGTGTTCAGTTGTATAAATGACAAAACAGCCGTTTCTCTTGGCCTCAATCTCAACGTCAAGGAAAGTGCCAGCACCTAGCCTGTCAGTCAGGTTTGCATCACTTGCCAAAATGTCACGTAGCCTACGAAGATGTTCAACTTCCATTGGGGGTGCCTGGCGGGTTGGTCCTTTCTCACGTCGTTCAAGTGCTGCAAAACCCATCAGCCTCCCTGACTCCAGGACATCTTCAGCACCTTTCAACCCAACTGTGAATTTGGTGAACCTCACTGTTTCAAGGAAGGATCCAGGCGTAGTGTAGCCTCGCCCTTCTGCTACACGGTCAGCTCGCAAATAGTGAAAATATTTCCAGACATCATCTTCAGCCAGGGGAATTGGCTCAAAGTGAGCATCTCTTTCTCTACAATACCCGGAATGCCACTGGAAGAATCTCTTCAATGATGAAGCACGCTTCAACAAAGTATTTGGACTCTTGGTGCCAAAACACGCCTTCAATGTTTCAATAGCACTTTCACCACTAGGGTCCCCACAAAGATCACTGCAAATCTGGGCTCCAATTTTTGTTGCGTTCCAATTACAGGCGATCAGATCCAACCAAATTCCACAAGCTTTCTCTGTAGCAATGCGTTTGCTCGTGAAGTAATCCAAGTCTTGTGTACAAGTAATAGCTTCCATGTAGCATGCATCTAGCTGAACACTGAGGTCCACACTCGATGGTTGCTCAACTCTGTCGACTGCGGGGCCACGTACTTCTGAGTTCTCCACTAGGGCATTTGCACCAGGCAGCACTGGACTAACGGAAGGTTTGAACACACTGCCCATAGCTCCAGTCTCCCAAGGTAGTTTTAAGCTCTCGTTCGTGTTTCTGTATTGCGCAAAGGCTCCGGCAATCATCAAGTTCCACTCTGCTCCAGGCAAAACAGATTGAGAAGCAGCAGTTTGACTATCAATGCTCTGCATAAATGACTCTTCTCTCAAGCTCTCGACTTCGGCGCCGTCTTCGTCAGGCAGAGGTTCGTGTCCATGAGAGAGGTGGTTTGGCTCAGATTGAATCAAATCAACGAAGCTAAAATCATCACACTCAAGATTTAAAGGAACCAACTCAGGTAAAGAATCAAGCTCGTCTCCATGTTCATGAACTTCATCAAGAATCTCGCAAATTCCCACCTCCTCTTCTAACTCCATGGCACTGCCCCCCTGCCGCTTTTGGGCAAACGAAACGGCGCGCCCACCCGCCCACCACTTGAACCAGCGCAGAAGCAAAGACGCGTGTGAAATCCGGGTGCCTCCACCCTAAAACTAGAAGCGACAACTCGATCCCCTACGGTGAGCTTCATTTTTCATGGTGTTATCGGTTTCTCAACGGACATGTATATCATATCATAAAGAACATTTTGAGGGTCAGCACCTATTGAAATGACTTGACACGACTCAAAAGCACTCGCGTCTTTTGCGCCCGCATCTTGAGCCTCAGGCGGCCGTGTCATGCCTGCGCAAATGACGATCCTGCCGGACGGATTGACGGACCAACTGGTTGGGATGTGGTTCCACGCGGGTCAACTTCACTGATTTCACACCCATAATCTTTCTTGGTCCGCAATCCATCCAAGCTGGGTGTCATGTCGACTTCGAAACCATCCATCAGCCTCTTTAGGCCTTCATGCTTCATCCCTTTTGTCGAAGGGTCAGCTAACATCTTGTCGGTGGAGGTCCATGTGAGCTTCGTCGTTCCGGCTTGCGGGAGCCGGTCCGTGGCCAGCGGGTCGCCGACCTCTTCATCAGGAAGCCGCCATAGGCTCTGCCTCAAGCCACACATGTCGATGGCCAATCGCTTGTCGCTGACCATGTGGAGGCCAGCTTAATTGCCATGGTCATGGAGTGACCTGCAATCAGTCACCCATTCCACCAGCACTGAGTCCATCGCACGAACTTGCCATCGAGGGGCTGAAGAATGAGGATGTAGAAGGCCATATAGCACAAACCTCAAGTGGTCTGCTTCCTCGCTTCCGGCCAAGAGACTCAAAGCCTCGGCCTGCAGAGTGGATCTGCAGACCCTTTTCAGCACCGTTGAGTGCCATTCGATCAGCGCCAGCTGTCCCTTCTTGGACTCGTGGAAGTCAGGGCTCGCGAGGCAAAGAAGTCGGCCGCTCTGGCTTCTGTGTCCCATCGTTGGCGTACTTCACATCACGAAAGGTGGCCGAATGCACGCTCATCTGCATGCGACACACTGCATAGGCCAGGTCTGGCCTGCATACTCGAGCCAACCATGCCAAGCTGCCGATGATGCTCCTGAGCTGTCCTCGAACTCCTTCGGGTACTGGTTGAGCTTCAGGACGCCTCTGCTCGTGGGTCAGCCAAATTGGCCGTACACGGTCGATCAAGTTGTCGCACTTGACAACGATGTGCTCTGCAGTTCTGGAAATGGTGCGACCGCAGTAGCGAAACTCATCTTTCTCAACCTTGCCGAAGTTGTAGTGGCTGCACACATCTTTCATCAGGTCTTCAATGACCTGTCCACCAGTCCATAGCAGGTCGTCAACGTGAGTGACCAACAGACCTGCCAGTCCAGATTGCCCATCCAACAACGTGTAGGCTCCTGGCTCATAGGGAACTGGATGAAATCCTTTCTTCTTCAAAGCGCGATCCAGGTTCTTCCACCAACCACAAAGTGCATCCTTCGTGCCATAGACGGTGGAGGGAACGATGTAGTACATGTTGGGTGGTACTCCTGGAACTCCATCTTTGGGAAGGTTCAAAATCAAAACACGATCCAACTTGCTGCCCTGCAGAATGGCAGCGGAGATGTCACCAGACGACAAGGTGGTGTCTCGACAAGCTGCCAAGGTGAGCGCCAGTGAGATCATGGTCTGGCTGCACGTGGGCGAGTCGCAGCGCATCAAACTGCTGTCTTCAAGATCACCTCGCGCCACCAATCTTGACTTCAGCTTCTCTTCTTCCCCAATCTCGCTCTTGTTGACGTCCACCCATCGAGTTGGGATGATCTTCAACTCCGGGTTCTGAGCGATCATGCGCACCACTTCATCTTCAGGAACCAGCTTGCCATCGCTGTAGAACTTCCAGTTGCGCCATTCTTTCTCCCGAGTGGCCAAAAGTTTCTTCTGCATCTCGGGAGTCGACTCTTTGGAATAATTCAGCTCACGGCCTGCTCCGACTTTCTGGGTCTTTTTCTTGTACTTGCGCTCGGTCTTGTTCGGAAGAAAGCTGTCGGAGGCTGAAGGCTCACGTCGACGGGAAATTCCACCCAAACGATCAGGGCTCTGTCGCAGGGACTGTGTGAGAGGCGTCGCCTGCTCGTTGATGACGCTAGACGATGCTGCACCTGACGTAGGATGAGTAGAGATGCTTGGTGCCGGAGTAATCTCTGCTTCCGGTTGACTGCTCATCGTTGAAACCCTAATCATTGTTCCAACTGGTGTCCCAACACCTTCTTCCAGAGAAGTTGTCACCTCGAGTCCAGGCGGACTCTGGAGAGGTACTTGGTGAGGTTGTTCAACATGTTGAGGCAACGATGGAAACGTCGACGAAGTAGTTCCTTCATCCATTTCAACATCTCCGGGGCTAGCAGTCACTCCCGTCTCGCCTTGTCCTGCATCACCTCTTGGAAGTCCACGAACGGGACTTGTTCGTGAGATCTTCCTGGCCCTCCGCGGAAGCTGATGTCCTCGATGTAGTCATCTGCAAAAGGTAGTTCATCATCTTCTTGCCAGTCAGTGAGGATCTGTCTGTCTTTTCCTTTTCCTCTCAGGCCGCAGTTCAAGAGCACGTCGCTTCAAGACTTCTGAGGTAGTTGCCGGCCTGCATGATGTCTCTGCCACCAAAATGGCAACACCTGAGCGCAACAGCCAGAGTGAGGATTTTCCTTCATGAGCGAGAACTCTGGCAGGTCCATACCATTTGCCTTTCTTGCTGAAAGAAACCAAATCTCCACAGCGGTATGGGCCCCTCATAGGAATGCTCTTCCTGAGCATAGCTTTGCGCACTCGTTGGGAGGTGTCAAGCTTGATGAAAGCTTCCTTTGCCCATTGGCGAATCAGCAGTTGCTTCGCAAAGGCATCTTGCGCTCCTTCTTCGGCGTCCAGCAAGCTTTGGTGTAGGCCAAGACTCTGCTCCAAGTCATTGTTGGTCAAGGAGGTGATGTCCTGAGGTTGATAGCCCATCACCCATTGAGAAGGTGAATAGCCATGCTGGTTGATGAAGAGATTCTTCACCCTTGCCGATTCTGAGCACAGAGCTGCAATGTCTTCAGCTCCTTTGATTTGCCGTTCATGAATGGCACGTTTCATGATCTCCTTGAGCAATCCTCCATGACGTTCTCCAACTCCAACTTGATGAGGTGCTCGAGCTCCAGTCTGCCGGATGGTAGTCCCCGTCACGGTAAGGAGACCACTTTTCCTTTGTTGTGAACTCCTATCCAGGAGACATTCAAGGCGTCAGCACATGCCTTTGTGCTGGGCGTTCTTCCTCCTGCAACACGAACTGCCACATGGAAATGCGTGGCCAAATCAACCAACGACAGGATGGAGTGGCGATGATGTTCACTATCATGAATCTCAAAGACATCCGCTGAAAGCTCATAGTTGAAGTGCATCGGGGAAGATAGTCTTGCCTCCTTTGTCACACGCGGATGCTGATCTTTCTCTGTTTCTTTGCACACCTGACATTGAAAGAACTTCACTGCATCGATGCCATCCTTGTCAGCTGTAGATGCCACCAGCATTCTCATCAAAGCAGCATTTGAGCAGTGACCAGTCATGGTGCGAAGGCGACGAACAGCAAGTCGCTTTTCTTTAGGAAGGCTGAGCCAGCCTCGTCGTCCCTTTTCTTCTTGTTCCATCACCAGGCGGTCCTTTTTGGTCTCATGCACTGATTGCTCCAGAAGCATTTCTTCACGTTGAAGTTCAGGTTCATCAATTCTGCGCTTCTTGACCAAAGGTGCCAGGTCTTGCTCAGAGTGGATGCCATCCACGCCGCCCATCTCTTCACGCCTTTCAAAGATCTCTTCAACGGGAAGGGCTTGATGAAGCGTCCCATAGAGCAACTCCTCATAGGCGCCAGACAAGATGGCATGACATAGCTCTTCTGGCCATTGTTGTGCGAGGCGTGTGCGATTGCTGCCTTCCAACTGCTGATGTTCATGGATCCATCGCATTGCTTGTTGAGCCTCTTCTTCGTGAAGTTGGATGACAGCATCAGCCCAGTGCTTTTCTTGTGAGGTAGTCCATATTGAACATCACGGAGTCCATACTGACATTGATCTATCTTCACTACCTCGACTCGCTCGTTCTATCCTCATGGAAAGGGGCCTAAGCCAGAAAATCTTCAAGACACTTGATGCTCCATGCTGCACTGGTCCAGGGATGTTCCATCATGATGCGCCGCCCTTTTCGCAAGCGAGACTTGAAGACGTCAATGAGCCACCTGAACACTGGATACCATCTCTGTCGCTCTTCCATGACATAGTTCTCCAATTCTTGACTCTTGCTGGCATTGATGTTCTGCCAAAGCGACCAAGGTCCACACTTGGGTCCCGCAACCAAGATGAAGGGATCCATGTAGTCGATGTAGTCGCCAATCACCTGACGATTGGAAGACTTCAGCAAATCATGACCTGGGTCATAGCAAACATCAATGGGTCGTCCAACAGGAAGGCCCCAAGCTGCAGCCATTGTTGTCAAGATGGCTGCTCCAGCAAATAGCTCCAAAATGAAGCACCGACATCCAGATGGTAGAACTCGTCCAGGTCGTCGTAGGCCTTGATGATGACGAAGCGTGCCCCAGAGTGCCAGATCTTCTTTGCGCACGGCTTCAGTGGATTCTGTCATCATCTTTCGTTGACATCGAGTCATCACCTTGCGAGGAGATTCGGCCAGGTTGACATAGTTCAACGCGTCTTCTTCTTCAATCTCTGACTTGTCAGTTCGGTTCTCCTGGCTTGAAGTGTCCATCGAAGCGCTCATCGGGGATGAAATGCAATTGGAAGTCATAGAGCTCATCGGAGACGATGTGCTGCTGGGCGAAGTAGCGTCAGTGGCGTTTCAGCTCATGTTCCCACTGACTTCTTCTTGGGCTGAGGAAGTTTCTGCCTGAAGTGCCATATCCGTCTTATCTTCAGTGGATGGAATGAGACGAATTGCTGGTAGGCCATCACGGTCAACCAACTCCAGACGGTGTGCTCCTCGGTGTCAATCACCAAGCCAAGT